TGTTTAAGCCTAGTTCTCATTCATCGAAAACCGTCGGCGATGGGAGCTTTGCGACGTCGGCGACCGCTTGCCATTTATGAGAACACATCAAAAATTATATCGCCGATTGTCCGTAATCGTCGCCGACCATCGGCGATGACATCGCAGGAAACAAAAATGTTTGTTTCTTGTGAGCATCGCCGACTGCCACCTGCTTGAAAAACCTATGAGAAATGAGTAAAAGTTGTTTTTTCCTCAACAAGCAAGGAAATAATCAACTGAAGTTTGACAAAAATCATGAATTTTACGTTGAATGGGGCCATTTTGTGCCTTGGTGGGAAACTTCGAAACACATCGGCTGTCACCTGCAACGATCACCGATGTATGAGAACTTTCGTGCATTCGCGCTCGGCGAGTATCGGCGATAAGCGTCGCCGATCGTCGGTGACAGTTTGCGATGAATGAGAACTAGGCTTTAGGCGCAAAAAGCAATACCTGTATGGTTGGGGTTCCCGACCGACCCTATTTTTTTCTGCCGACCCTATTATTTTTTCAACGCGATTGACCGTGCGACCCTATTTTCTCCAGGTGGTTGCAGGCTGCTCATACAGTGTGTCACTAAAATGGCGTCTGTTGTCACACTAATTATTGAACCAAATTGCCTAAATTCGTCCATAGGAAATACGCATCTCTAGTTAACATTGATGTCAGGACTCTATTGCAAATCGCCCAGCAAAAACCCGCCAAAACCATGAAAAAAATTTTAAAAAAATCATTTCCGACCTACCGACCCTAATTTTTTCACGATATGAAACCGGAACCACAGGTATTTTTTTACGCCTGAATAGCGAAGGCAAGAAGACAGAAATTGACGTCGAATAAAAAGTCGTAAACAGTTTCAATACCATTTTTCCCCAGCTAATAATTTTACGGATTATCATTTGTAGGATTTAATTTATATTTTAGGCGTAACAAGTGCAATATGTTTACAGCCGGTGCAAGAAACGTATTCAAGGTGTTCAACTGTATCATTTACGCTCGGAAAGAAGTTCTTTAAGTTAAAATTTAATCTATAGTAATGTGTTTCAGCTCAACTCTGTTTTTACTCTTTGAATATTTAAGTTGTTTATGTGTATCGCTGGAAAGCGTATAAATACATTGTGAACTTTTGTTCGTATATTGAGGTTCGCAAGCATTTAAAAACCATCAATATTTTCCTCATTTTCATAATATTTTATAACGAGCGCATTTTAAAATCTTTGAAAAGCTCATATATATATAGGTGTACGTTTTTCTAAATTGCCACCTAGATATTATTAAAAAAAAATACTTGGCGAAAACAAACTCACCAAAGTCTGAAATTCTAAAGTGACGTTTATCAAATTCGCTACGTATTAGAGTTACTTTCTTTCCTCGGTTTTCTTCAGGAAAATTTGGCTCAATGTCAAATACTTCGCAGTATTTGTTTAAGATTTTCGACGGAGTGTATTTACTACCAAAACGCCATCGGTCGGTGCCCGATCTGAAAGAGAAAAAAATATTTGTTAAATTCATCGATTCTTGTCGTATGAAACGTGCTGTTTCAAACACAATGAAAAATCATAAGCGTGTCGTATCTTTATCATGTGTTAAAAAATTCATTAATAATTCACGAGGAAAATACAAAAGAAATGAATGTTTAATCAATGTTTGTCAATCGGATAAAGATTTGTCCCGATTTACATCAACTTCAGCTTTGATTTTCTCGGCATAAACAATGTTTATTTTTAAAATTACTTTGCCAATGAATTGATAAGATGCGTAATTTTTTAAGTACTTCGGCTCGAGTTTGTATATCAGATACAGATCGGCTGCGAATGTTTTATCTAGTACATACTGTAGACTGATCTCCCTTGATTTACATAAACTTTAGCTTTGATTTTTTCGACTTACACAACGTGTTTTTTGAAAATTACTGCGTCAATGAACTTACTAGATCGATAGTTTTTGAAGCAATTTAATGCATTAGCAGTACGTATTTTATCAGACCTAAAGATACTCGGCTTTGCCTCGGCGAAAGCCGTCAGTCACTTTCATACTTGAACTAGTTACTGAAATATGATTTTGGGCTCATAATAACCAATTGCTCTCCGGATACATGCTTGCACGACCCTACTTATGACGTAACATGCATATCCGCCAAAATCCAAGATGGCGGAATGCTCGGTGATTTGTGATTTTTTCTGTCAAAATATCTCAAGAAATAATAAAGTTACGCAAAATCGGTAAAGGAGATTTACGTACTGTTTAATAAACGAGCAGGAGTGTTTTATTATGTTTAAATTCACGAGCGCGCAGCACGAATGGCTTTTGACCTAATAAAACACGACCTGCGAGATTAAAAAGGCTTCAAACACGACTACAAATTCAATAGATATACTGCCATTAGTATTCTTTATATAAAGAATACTAATGAGGACACGACTACAATAGATACTGCCTTATTTGTATTCTTTATATAAAGAATACTAATTAGGAGTGTTTTATCAGCTTTAAAGCCACTGCACGTGACATATTATGGTTGACATGATTTGCCAATAAGCTTATGAATTATTAATGATGTTTGAAATATGATTTTAAAAGTTCTTCCAGATGAAATAATAAAAAAATATGTTGCCATATCCCTCTAAAATGGTAAATAAAAATATATATAGAATTGAGTATATCTCTGGGAATTTATTCTTCAGATTGGTCTAAAACTCTCCAATGTGTGCAATTTACATTTAATTGAACAATTCGAATCTGACATTCAGTTTCTTTGGCAAACATTAATTTAATTTCAATTTTAACCTTTATACGGCAATATTTTTATTATTATTTCATTTGGAAGAACTTTTAAAATTATATGTTAATCTCTTTTACCGATTTTGCGTAACTTTATTGTTTCTTGAGATATTTGAACAGAAAAAATCACAAATCAGCGAGCTTTCCGCCATCTCGGATTTTGGCGGATATGCATGTGACATCATAAGCAGGGTCACGCAAGAATTTTATCCATAGAGCAATTGGTTATTATGAGGCCAAAATCATATACTTCAGTAACTATTTGAAATAAAAACTATCTGACGACTTTTCAAACAAGACATAATGTTATGTGGTCATTTAGATGTAGTTTTATATGGCTAACCCTGCTTATGACGTCACTAAAATCACCGATAATGAGATAAAAATTAATCCAAGATGGCGGACAGCAAATTATGTTAAGTCAAAATATTTCAAGAAATAATAAAGTTACGGAAAATCGGTAAAGGAGATTAACATATAATTTTAAAAGTTCTTTAAAATGAAATAATAAAAAACTATATTGCCGTATCCCTTTAAGTAGACTCAGCCCGTATCTGTTGTTATGCAACTTACGTGTTATAAGTAGGAGGCAAACCAGCTGTGGCATGGTGTCGTGTTACCAATCTATTTTCCAGATCCACCACTGTTTCTCCGATGAGATCATCATTACCATAATCATTATCGATCACCTTCACCTTTAAATCTTTTACATCAGGAATCACCGCGTGAAACTGAAACACTCTACAGACAGAAATGGAAAACTACAGTACCATTCTATCTCGAAACATTAATAATTATGAGTAAAGTAGCCAACCATGTCGCTTTATTTTGTTCACATGATACCTGGTGAAGTATATTGATCCAGTCCTAGAACTGGATCAAAATGAATTCATCTCACTTTATGTAGTCATTTATTCGTATGAGATGTCTTTTTTAATCCTCCAATTTGGAGTGGACTAGATTTTAAGTCCTCGCATTTTGATCAAGTCCTCGGCTTTGAATCGGACTTGATAAAATTGTGCGGACTTTAAATCTAGTCCAGTCCTCTTAGTCGGATTTGAAATATTACATCCAAGATGGCGGACAACTCATTGCTTTGTCAAAATATTTGAAGAGTTAAGCTTGATATGAAAGATCTGTAAAAGATCTGATTTATACATTATTTTAATTAAACGTTCTTTCATATCAGACATTAAAATTATTTTGCCATTGTTCTTTATGTGCAATCATTCGTATGAAAGCAGTTATTCGTATGAAAGTAATTTTGCGACGTAGTAATAACGAAGAAAGAATTTATAAAATGCAGATATACAGAACGTTATGTCCAATAGCAATATACTTACTCCCCGAATTCCACTTCCAAAGTGTCTGGTTCGTAGCTGTCCTTATTGTCGAAAGTTTCGTTGCCAAGGGATACCACAAGATATGGGTCAGACTAAAGCATGAAATATACTCACGATATATGACAGGGTCATTGCGAAAAAATAAACATTAAATAAGATCACTCACCTTTTGCACCATGTACTAGATAGTATATCATATACTATACATGGTGTATAATAAAAAGGCAGATCAGCTTTAGAATGTCTATTGCGCTCAAAATGGAGGGCCCGATTTAGTTTTTTCCATATTGATAAAGATTAAGGTTTTATCTTTTGAATGACACCTTTTTTGTATCATTTCAGGCAAAAATGAAGACATAGAAACCCTACAAACCGATTAAAAATTTCTACTTGAAATTACATTTTCCTACTACCAATGTGTATTATTAAAGGCAGTACAGAACGGAAGAAAAACCAATTAATCTCGTCATGCCAAACAATAAGCTTAAAACAAAACTGACCAGGTGGTAATGGCATTTGAACGCTTTCCATTGCCGTACTATACGATTTAATCCATTGGTTTGGTTTTCATTAAAATTCATCCACCAAAATTGTAATCGTTTCCTAATCGTAGCTCATGTGTCTGAAATGTCCTGAATGTTGCGAACTTCGTCACAAACTTCGTTGCGATTAAGTTCAGAAGTTCATAATCACATTCACAAACCAGTTTGTAAACAATGCATTTGATTGGCTTATACTTGTTCAGGGAACAGTCAGAGGCTTTGTTTAGAAACCGGCTTGTGAATTTCAGTATGAAGTTTTGAAATTTGAACTTCACAACAAAGTTCGGAACAAGGTACGCAATATTTAGGAAAAAATTATGTGAAATCAACTGTATGGTTGTAAAGAAAAAGAATGAATGAATTAAATAATATATATGTTCATTTTTGCTTACCAGACCATTCGTGTCCTTCGGTTTTAGATCATAAGCCTGAAAAAAGAAAAAGTGTGGAAGGTTACAATGCAAATAGATGTTACCTGGTGCACCATATTTGTGCTAAAACATCTTGTCTTTCAGAGTTCATGTTTTATGTACTATTTAAAACATGAGCAGTAGTGATTTATCAGATATAAAGATACGAAGCGAAGCCGATAATCTTTTGGTGTGATAAAGCACGCACTGAAAACGTTTTAAATTGCTTCAAAAACGGTCGATCGAGTAATCATTATGCACTTACTTTAACAATGTAGACTCGAACAATACAGGGAACAGAAAACATACGATGAAGTTGTGCTTTTTTAAACATCTGTGGACGTAATTCTCCACTGAAATCTTCTGGTAGATCATAGATAGCCAATGCTCCCTAGAGAACCAAAAAAAATGTGTAGTCGTCACAAGTCTTCAATATTGGGGGCACAGTCTATGAAAGTCCCATGCATGCCGTCTCTAAAGACGAGTATGGGTCATAGATATCTTATATACACTAGAGAGTGCATCTAATTATTCTGCAATTCAAAAATTGAAGCCGTGATTGCAGTCTCAGGTCGTTCCCATGAAATGAGAAGATTCGTATATTATTTCTTAAACAGGGAACTTAAATATTAAGTTAACCCTATTCCAAATACATTTTTAAAGTATTCAAATGATGAAAGTTATTGTTGTTTTTAAGTGTCTATTAGCGAGTGGGAACGACCAACATGGCCGCCATCTATTCAAATGGGGGTAACCGCTGGAATATTCTTGGCTTCAATTTTACTAAAAGAGATGCGCTATCTAGTGTATATAAGATATCTATGGTATGGGTATTGTAGATAAAAATTGTCGAGTGAAAATTTATGTACATTTATTATTTATTGTACCTAATCAGGAACAGAAGCGAAAAATGCAACTTTAGGTCCCTGGCAGGAATTGAACCTGCTGCCCTGTGATTCCACAGCTCTCTAAACAACTGAGCTACAGAGGTCAGTTGCCGAGCTCTAACCACAAGTTCATGTATATATACTGGGGAGCACCTATGTGTAGGTTGAAACTTGAAACTTTAATTCATTCGCCATACATTGTAATACAATTACAAAGAAAACAAAACAAAACAAAATAACAGATGGCAAGGAGACCTCATGTAACCACTGGGCTTATCTAGTGAGGCTTATCTACTGGGCTTATCTAGGGCTTATCACCTCAAACAACAAGTATAGTATACAGTAGAATAAATACAATATTTTACTCAAAGAGCGCGTATTATGTGCGCGACGTATGAAGATTATCTTAGCAAAAATTCTATCATGTGTTTTCTAAAAGTGGAAAGAGTAGATAGATCGTTTATATGTGATGGTAGAGCATTCCAAATCTTAGGTTATATGTAAATATCAAGATTTTGTTGGCATCTCACCAGGGTATTGTTAATGGAAATTATCGAGTGAAAATTTATATACATTTATTAGACGAGTATATATAACGATTAACTGACTTCGATATATAGCTGGTGCTTAAACGAAACGTCATTTTGCAATGAGCTCTTTTTTATGCTTTCATAACGAAGAAAACAAAGAAATAAAGATTATTCACAGTTTTTACAGGTAGGATTTGAAAATTAGTATGGGAAATTACTCTCAATGGCTCTGCTCGCTTGAATACAAAAAATACAATGTTTCTTGTCATTGATTGCTCGTGCAAAATTGACCATAAAATGATATTAAGTGCGATTTTTCATTAAACTTCTCGAACCGTGTAATTTCCTATATTAGTTTTCACGCATAATAGCTTTGAACAGACACAATCTAGAATAAAAATGAGTTTTCACTGAATTTCATTCAGTTTTTGAGTGGTCTATAACCACTTCAGTGAACTGATGCTATTTAAGGAATTTCAGCCATAATATTAGGGGGATACCGAGGCGCGCTTGCATAATGATCTTCCTACCAAAACAAAGCAATAAAAAAGGCCAAGGGTCTATAATATTTACCTTAAATTCACCAACAATGCTGTCTTCATCCTCTTCATCCAAAAATTCCATTTTTCCTCTTCGGAAAGAAAATGTCTTGATGTGATCTTGAAAGTGCCCGAATTCTTTTTCCAAAGTATGGGCATAAATCTGTTACAACGCAAAATGTTTAATTAAGGTAATTCCTCAGTAATTGTTCCCAAAATGAAAATGTGCTGAAACTTCCCAGGCATGGAGTTTATGATATATTTAAAGTAAAATCACACAAAAAAGTCGGGGTCGCCGAACTCGTTAAGAAGATATGAAACTCACAATATACCACCTTTACCCCAATATAGCGCCATCTTGACGCTCATTACGAGTAACAGCAAAATCACAACAGCCCGATATTTACTGACGTTTATAGCGCGGATTTTGCTTTAGTAAACCTATCTTGTAAGTATTTTTGAAAAAATATTGTGTTTTAAGCAAAATGAAACTACTAACGTGTACAATTCTGATCCACAAATGTCTTTTCCACATTTCTTTACATATTTTTTTGAGAACATGCATTGATAAAGGATTTTTTTTCAAGATCCAGAAATGATTTTTCTTTTAATTTCGGATATGAAATGTAAAATGCATTAAAGAAATAAATTATCAGTTAAAAAACGGGGGTCACTGATCTTTTTAGGGAATTGTGACATTAAAACGTGAAATACAAGTAAATAAATATACTACAGACACAGGGAATCCTAGCTACACCTTTGTGTGCCTTTTTTGAAAACATTGATTCTAACGTAATTCTTTGCACGAATGTAACCAAAAATGTTCTGAAGTAACATAAGATTTTCATAAAATGATTTTTTTTTATAAACGGTACGTATAATGGATGAATTAAAAGTTATATAAGATGTGCGCAGTAAAAGTGCGCAATGTAAAACTGCGGAATTACCTGAATACGTGTTTAGATTGGCCAATCAAAATACGAAAATCACGCAACCCGCGCAGGTGACGTTGTTATCTACTACACACGCGTGAACACCTCACAACCATAGATATCTTATATACACTAGATAGCGCATCTCTTTTAGTAAAATTGTAGCCAAGAATATTCCAGCGGTTACCCCCATTTGAATAGATGGCAGCCATGTTGGTCGTTCCCACTTGCTAATACACGCTTAAAAACAACAATAACTTTCATCATTTGAATATTTTAAAAACGAATTTAGAATAGGGTTAACTTAATGTTTAAGTTCCCAGTTTAAGAAATAGGAAACATACGAATCTTCTAATTTCATGGGAACGACCTGAGACTGCAATCACGGCTTCAATTTTTGAATTTCAGAATAATTAGATGCATTATCTAGTGTATATAAGATATCTATGCTCACAACTTGTCAACAAGATGTGTTCGCAACAGGTTGTTGCAAATTTGTCAACAAACTGGGAACACATCCTGTTGACAAGTTGTTGCAGGAACAGCATTGCTATACAAGTCTGCTGCAGGTTTATTATAACTGATAACACTCTTGACTGTATGTATGTTGAGCCTTTTAACGGTACGTAATTTAGCAAGAGGCTGCTTTGCATAAATGAACGACGGCTTTTGAATGTTCTTGGTGCAAAAAAACCCCAAATTTTTTTGACATTTTTATCCGAATCTTAGTAAGTGATTGAGTTGCATGGGTAACACTTTTGTGTTGTTATTGTGACATTTTAATTTCTTTACAGTGCTTGTTCGAGAACTAAACGTTGTTTTGTGCCACAAATCATTACTTGTCGAACGAGTTTAATGAAAATGCAAATGCAACGTATGTTAAAAATTATAGTATTGAATTCGGTTTTTGTGATATCTGGAATCATCAAGCCCAGTTAAGCCTTATCAGATTCGCCCTCGGCTCGGCTGATAACACTTACCTCGACATCGGAAATTTGGATATCACATAAACTTCATCCAATAACTGTTTATAAACAACACTATTATAATAGTATAGCCTATGGCATTTTGCTTCGTTTTCGATTCATGCAGTTGGTAATGATCTCGAATATTGACAGGAAAACGTTTTGTTCTGTCAATAGTGGTCACAGAATACAAATTCTTTTCCAGGGCTGAAGAAGACAGCCGGTCCTATCATTGTTAATGTTTATAAAGCAAACCTTTGGATATATGTTGGCTTCGTCTTTTTTCTCTTCAGTAGCGCGTTTGGCTGCATAATATTTTGACCACCAATCGTCATCATCACCTTTCTTCTTTGCCTTTGAACTTTCTTCTTCACGCGTCTGAAAAATAATAATGTAAATTCATTATTTGATAATCATTAACAATTTAATCGAAATTTAATGCATGGTTACTCGCTCGTCCATGACTGTCTTTGTTATTGTTGGGGTTTGTCTGTTAATGGACGTGAATTAGTAAGCTAAAAATCTCAATTGCTCACTCATGTTCATACAGTTCAAATCTAAAATGCTGTGCTGAGTGGTTATATTACTACCTTAAAAAACAAGCTGTTTACCAATTTTTGCTGATGTGAGCAATTTTACCCGTAATTTCTACCCGTTTCCTCGCGGTAAACCGTGGTCTGCACGTAAACGACAAACGGGTACGGGTGTTTCTGTTTACTATTTTTGGGCCGTTTAAATAGTACAAATTTTCAACATCTTACCCAAATAAATAATGCACACATGCTGGTCAAAATTTTCAACAATTTATGGCGAACCTCAACAGCGAAAGTTGCCATTCTCTGATCGGTTTTCTCACGCCGGAGTATCTTGGATTTCTTAAGTTACAAGTTATTTCCCGATTTACTGGTACGTGTATATCACCCGTACCCGTAAACCGGAGTCGGGGTATCTTAACCTCTCTAATAACAATAAAATGGCCGTTGTAAATGTCAACAAAGGTCCGATAAACTCTGATTATATCAATATACTGTACCGTTTTCTTTGACTTTTCACTTCGTTTACTACTTTCTGATCCACTTTTCTGCCAACCATTGCTGCCCACCGCAACACTGGTCAAAGCATCAGAGTCAGCACTAGACGATCCTGAATCTAAACGAAAGCCAATATTCATACGTGCGCTATATACTGTTCTTAATGATCATAATTGCAAGTTACACGAAACATATTGCTTGGTGTAACATCCTTTGGAATGCAATGCTGAAATCATTTTTCTTAAGGTTACAGAACACCTAAAAATTTTTCATTGGTTTCCATGAAAGCATTAGACTAGTTCTACTATCTGACCAAGTTTCAACGAAAAATGTTGAAAACTCGCAGAGTTATTTAATAAAATACATTTCGCTGCAATAAGAAAAACATTGAAAATGCAATATTCAAATTAGAATTGTGCTCCTGCGGGTTTTAACCAATTTTTCTCAAATTTTCACAGGACATAGCTAAAGACGTCGGTTTCAAAATTGTGTTCGGCTTTTTTTTAATTTTGGATATTTTAATAATAAAGAACAATTCACCCAAACAATTCAGAAATATATTGCAGTCGACAAAGAAATCGCCATATCAGCGGAAAGACGAAATTTACGAACACAATTTTTTAGATCAACTATTTTGCTGTATAAAAATGATATTTTCATAAATATAACTTAAAACCAGCAGGAGCACAACTCAAAAGCGTATAATGGTACCGCGATTTAAGATTTTCCTGAATAATTCTTACATTATTTTATTGTTTGTCAATTTTAAAACTTTACCATATTTTGCATGCACTGGCGAATATTTGGTGAAAATTTGATTAAAATCGGACTGATATTGAGCGCGCAGTAGCGATTTTCCGCAAAACGCCAAAAAGGGTGCCCTGTAACCTTAACATTGCAAAACAAGTTCCGAGACAAGTTGCTTAGATGGTCGCACTGGTTTTTCCCCAGAAATAACAGGTTTGAAGTGAAAATCTTGTAGCAACTTAGCAAGATGACAACACTTTTACAACTTGTTGACAAGGTTGCGACAAGCCTGTTGCGCGATTAAATTGTTGACAAGTTGTGAGATTTTTACCTGTCACGTTGACGCCATTGTCATTCTCATTTGCATCAAACATCTGAGCCAACAAATGTTGGTCTCCCTCGTTCCTTCGGTACTCGTGGAGATTTTTGACCACGCAAATGCCAATCGGAGCTTTACCACTGCTGGTTTTTAGTTGTATCGTGATTGCTGGCAAGTACGGAAGATTCTGGACGAATAATAAAAAAGACAAATGTCTGTCACAACGCGAATGAAGAAGAATAATGTGTACTGAGGCGTATCAAAAATAAGCTACATTTTTTAAAATTCTCACATATACAGTGATCTCCGTTCGGTTAAATGTTTAAAAATTCCGAGAATATTTTGTGGTATCAGGATTTAGAATTTTATTAGGATTCGCATACTTATACATAAACACATAAAACACATAAAATATTACAGAAAACTAAATACCATAGATTACATTATATAAGCGGTTATATAAAAGTGATTGTTGTGCATGCAGTAATGAAAGTAATATAATCTTTCTGCTTGCGCTGGGTATGGAAATTATGAAATACACACTCGAGAACATTTTCTACTTATATATATATATATATATATATATATATATATATATATATATATATATATATATATATATATATATATATATATATATATATATATATATATATATATATATATATACATGGTATGTAACTAGATGCAAGACAAATTAATCGGCATATGACTCGAAAATCGACGGTGCATGTTATTTTTTGTCTAATGTGAAAGATCATTGAAAACTGTAGAGTAACTTCTTCGAAAAAGTTTTGCTTTCTTGCTTCGTTTTGAAGATATTTCATTTTGTATGATATGCACACTTGCAAAGGACCAACTTGCTATGTCACATATGCATAATGATTTAGTCCTAAAAGCTGTATATCCGTTCTGCTAGCTCCATTAACTGATTTAAATACTTATTATATAATTGCTTCCGTACGCACCAGAGTGAATTTAAACAATTTACTTCTTTTCCTGATTTCAAATTTAAGTAATATATAATTGTAATATAGCTAATGTTCTAAGTTCTTTGAATGTTTGCATGGCGATAAAATATAATTGTTTTTGTTTGTGGAAACACCACGTAAATTGGTAACACCACGTAATGCAGTAATAAATTTACGTGGTGTTTCCACAAACAAAAACAGCTAATGTTCTCTTTTATATAAATGTAAAGTCATATATACCTAATGTAATATAACCCTTTTAATTAAGTAAACTTGAAAGTCAACTGAATATTGATTTATAATTATATATATATATATATATATATATATATATATATATATATATATATATATATATATATATATATATATATATATATATATATATATATATATATATATATATTTATGTATGTATATATATATATATATATATATATGTATATATTCATTATCAGCAAATCTAGTGTTGTACAAATGGCATGCGGATCGAGGCAAGCTGGACAGTTTGGCCAAAAACAACAGGAATATTACATTGATCACCAGTAATCTTGATATTCATTATCAGCAAATCTAGTGTTGTACAAATGGCATGCGGATCGAGGCAAGCTGGACAGTTTGGCCAAAAACAACAGGAATATTACATTGATCACCAGTAATCTTGTATGTGAACCCAAAGTATAGGGGGTTTTATTGGGGTTTTTTTTGGTTTTGTGGTTTTTTATTAGTTGAGAAATTGAAGAAACATACAACAGGCAAGCTTTAATTTTCGGCAAGCTATAATTGCAAGTTGGCTATTCACAATGCGATATCATATCAAATGATCTTTGAAAACAATATTTGAATGTTTCAGACTCTTGAAATTTAGAAAATATAATTAAAACATTTTAGAGCGCATGTCAAATCCAGCAAAACCTCTCACTTTTCGAAAAAAATATAGACATCTGTATGAAATGATTTCACTTTAACTTTAGTTAAAACGTTCGACAACTTCGACGCGTCGTCCGGATTGTTTTATGTAAATTTAGTATCTGACTGTTATTACTTAAGAGTATTTAAATGAAAGATAATTAATGGCACTTTTAATGGGCAAATAAAGTTTCGTAATGCATGCTTTGGACGGGATACAAAAATGTATTATTATTAATTTAATTTTCTAAAGTTGCCATACTCGGCAAAATTTCAAACCACTTTATTTTAGGCAACGATTGCCGAAAATTGGGAGATGTGTTTCGTTTTAGTGTCTCGTTGCTACAAATTGGAAGCAGGTGTTGCCACCTTGGCAGAGAGCAATTGCGAGAGTCATTTCGAGCTTGATTAGCATAAACAATACTTATATACATGTATATATATGCATGTCATTTACACACTTCAGAGTTCAGTAGTCCTAATTTAGATGCCACACTCAACACAACACAACTTTATGCTTTATACTTCAGAAGAAGTCGCTCGAAGATGGAATCTCACTATTTTATAAATCTGATAATTATATTTGCTGTGAACGTATTCTTCTTTTTCTCAGGAATATGTTTAAATTCCTTGGTCATACTCAGTTTCTGGAGATCCGTACAACTTCGAAAGAAATTATGTTATTTCATGATAATGGTTTTGTCCTGTTGCGATTTGCTCGCGGTTATAACTAATAGTCCATTGATGGCCCTTGTCGTAATGCTATGGTTATCGGGAAAGTTGGATGTAAATGCTTCATGGCCTCATAGTTCCTTAAAGTGGACAAGAACATTGTTTGTTTTCTCATTAATGGCTCTTTTGGTATTGAATTTCGATCTATATTTGGCCACATCTTATCCTTTCTTTCATCGAACATCCGTAACGAAGGGAAGACTTTCAGCTCTTCTTGCAATACTGATAATCGTCGAAGTTATTTTGAAGTTGATATCTGTAAACGACTTTCTTATTTCCGACCAAATGCATGCTGTTATTTTTGGTATTTTATTCATTCCTATAATGATGTTTATCAACTACAAACTGTTTCAAGTTGTCAGGAAAAGTCGTAAAAACAAAGCCATGCCACCCGATATAAAGAAGACATTATCTTTGAAAAAGATTTCTAGTTCCATGCTAGTTGTCGCTTGTCTTGTGGTGTTCTCCATTCCATTGGGCGTCTACATTGGACTAACCATACACTCGAGAGAAACAACAAATACTTTGGACAATGCAAACCTTGCAGGGCTGTGGACCAAAACCACGAGCTTGATGAATGGTACATTTAACTGTTTAATCTTTTACTGGAAAAACAAGGTGTTACGTACCGAAGGAGTGAGAGTTTTGAAAAGTCTGAAAATATGTCGACGGGTTGAACCCCAGCTGCACTAATAATCCTTCTTAAAAAATACTTTATTAACGTTCGAAGAAAACTCCTTGTATATTAAAGTATTTTAAATTCCCGTTATAACAACATCTTGGTCGTAGTAAATGTGAACACAACGAACAATAGACTTATGTACAAGTTGTATTGAAAATATACGACTAGCTTTGGCATGTTAATTATTTTGCGTTAAGGTAATTCCGCAGTAATTGTTCCCGAAATGAGATTGTGCTGAAACTTCCCAGGCATGGAGTTTATTATATACTTAAAGTAAAATCACACAAAAAAGTCGGGGTCACCGAACTCGTTAAGAAGATATGACAATCACAATATACCATCTTTACCCCAATATGGCGCCATCTTGACGCTCATTACGAGTAACAGCAAAATCACAACAGCCCGATATTTATTGACGTTTTTAGCGCGGATTTTGCTTTAGTAAACCTATCTTGTAATTATTTTTGAAAAAATGTTGTGTTTTGAGCAAAATGAAACTACTAACGTGTACAATTTTGATCCACAAATATCTTTTCCACATTTCTTTACATATCTTTCTTTGAGAACATGCATTGATAAAGGATTTTTTTTCAAGATCCAGAAATGATTTTTCTTTTAATTTCGGATATGAAATGTAAAATGCATTAAAGAAATAAATTATCAGTTAAAAAACGGGGGTCACCGATCTTTTTAGGGAATTGTGGCATTAAAACGTGAAATACAAGTAAATAAATATACCACAGACACAGGGAACCCTAGCTACACTTTTGTATGCCTTTTTTGAAAACATTGATTTTAACGTAATTCTTTGCACCAAAGATGTAACCAAAGATGTTTTGAAGTAACATAAAATTGTCATAAAATGATTTTTTTTTAAACCGGTAAGTATAATGGATGAAATTATAAGTTATAAGATGTGCGCAGTAAAAGTGCGCAATGCAAAACTGCGGAACTACCTTAATTCTCGTGTTTTTCACTACATGTATTAGACCAAAAACGCTCTAGATTGGAATACGCTAAAGAGAACGGTTGCGAAAAATGCAACACCAGGTCCTCTTGCAGGAATCTGCGGGTCTGCGACTCCAGTGACCTCTGCAGCTCAGCTGGTTAGAGCGCTGCACTGGAATCGCAGGGCCGTGGGTTCGATTCCTGCCAGAGGGCCTGGTGTTGAACGTTTCGCAACCGTTCCTGGTTAGGTTGGATTATCTATATACTCCAATACATAACACGTTTTAAGGTGCGTTTACACACAACGATTAATTAATCGGGCCGATTCAGCTTTAATTAAATGATATTTGAAAAATACGCTGTCAATGTCATAGAGATTATAAATAACACTAGAGGAGGCATCGAGTTTAAAAATTGGGAACGCAGCTAATGGGGGGCAAATTCAAGTCCCGGATATAAAATCGTGCTCTCATTGGCTGATTTGAAACTCGTCCCCAATGGGAACACGAATACACATCCGGGACTTGAATTTGCCCCCCAATAGTCGCGTTCCCTTTTTTTTACTGAATTAAGATTACAATGCCTCCTCTAGTGTTATTTATAATCTCTATGGTCAATGTCATCTGACGACACCGTCAACTGACAAAATTCGTCATTAACATTCGGCAAAACCTGAAATCGGCCCGATTAATCGTTGTGTGTAAACCTAGCTTTACATAACTTTATAATCGTGTTTTTCAATAAATTTGTTGGGTGACTTCGGTCTCATATTACTATTCCAAAATGAGATTACAAATACCAAAGTCAGTATTTATAGGGTTAGAATTTGGCTTAGAATTATCATCGAGATTGCAATTGGGGCTATGGAGCCCTGCAGTCGCTGGTTCGTCTTGCAGTTCCCAGCATGATCATTGAGCATGATAGGAGCGGTATATAA